TGAAACTGAAGGTCATTATCACAGAGCCTGGAGAGGACAGTGGCCGTCTGGGTGTAACCTCTGCCTGGGTTCAGTAGGGGAATCGTGGCCCTGCTGCAGCTCTCTGACCTATTATTGGAGTAAAAGCACCATACTTTGTCTCTGTTGAGGCTGGCAGATCACCCCAATAGGAGGGGAGAATAAAAGTCATTGATCTAATAGCACCCATGTCCACCCCTGCCCTGTAGGAGTCCCCACCCCAGAACATTCTGCCATTTCTCCTGTCCACCCTCTTTTTCTGCTCAAAACAAGAGGTTTTGCATCAAGATGTGGCAGCTGATCAGAACAAAACACTTTCTGCGAGTTTTTCCCACTGATATCCTCAGATGTATTCAGGAAAACACCTCCTCAATAGAGTTGGCCAATTAACCACTCAAATGGCTTGAGAACTTATTTAATGTCACTGCCTAATCACTTTATTAAATGTCACTGCTCCATCAGGCAGGGATTTCTGCTTTATCCCTCCCTTCTCTTATGCTTCACTCCCTTTCTGAAACACAGAGCTTCCTCCTAAAAATAAAATCTTAATGCCTCTCCCCTTCTATTTGTGACCTTGCATTTGCCTGGAATAATGGAATTTGAGCACTGGGCAAGACCAGGGGGCTCATCTTACCTCTTAAATCAGTTTGCTGATGACCAAAGGGAGACTCCCAGAGGGAAGGGACTTACTCCCACGGGCACCAACTTGTAAGTGGCAAAGCCCACAAGGTTTTATAGCTATAAATCCTGTCAGTGGTGCAGTGAGGAGCAAATAGGATAGGATCTGGAGTGTGTAGACCTGGATCTGCCACTGAAATACATGACCTGGTAATCCTAGCCTCAGTATTCCCATCTGTGAAAGGGGGAGCAGACAATCTAGGAGGGGAAGACTGAGTGTGATTTTATTATCCGTGCTTCATAAGCAGGAAGTTCCACACAAATATTAAGTGATTTATTCTGGTGTTTATCAATGATAATTATTAGCAAGATTAACCATTCTGTTAATTACAATACTGATTTCACACCTGTTTCTCCTTTTCTTCTGGCCTCTAACAATAGGTTAGCCATATCCTTAACTCCTCTAACATGTAACCCCTGCTCTGCAGTAATTTTCCAAGGGGGAAGTTTCTCTCACTTGTTGGGATTTAGTACACAAGCTGTGGATGCCCACATTCTAACTGGCTGTCTTGACACACCTAGCATAAATGGAGTTTGAGATGAACAGGAGGACACAAGAGTCCCCAGAAGGCCACAGCCGGGGATCACCTCCAAGTGGTGGAGACAGGAGTCCCATAAGCTCTCCCGTTTGGAAGACTGCACGGGCTCCTTCTCGTGTGACTTCACTTGCACCTGATTTTCTCTACTGACAAAACTATAATGGGTTTAATGCGTGGACAGATCTGAGCTAATTTACTCACAAAGGAAAAGTCAGGACTTACTTCACTTGGACCTTTAGTCCAAAGCGAATTTATCGTTTGGGTTCATGTAAAACTCTGTCTTAAATATGGTCAAAGTAGCTGAAACCGGTTTGGCTCAGTGGATAGAGCGTCGGCCTGCGGACTGAAAGGTCCCGGGTTCGATTCTGGTCAAGGGCATGTACCTGGGTTGCGGGCGCATCCCCAGTGGGGGATGTGCAGGAGGCAGCTGATCGATGTTTCTAACTCTCTATCTCTCTCCCTTCCTCTCTGTAAAAAATCAATAAAAATATATTTAAAAAAAAAAATATGGTCAAAGTAAATGAAATTATTGGGCTTTCACAAGTAAATTTATACTTTTTTTTTTAATCGAAGAGCTAGCCTCACCATCATTTTAATCTATGGGCCTATAATGAGGGGGGTTACTCACACAGTCAGCATTAGGACAAAGGACACGGGGAAGGTGCTAATTATTTAACCTGCTGAATATTAGCGATGTCACCAGAAGTCATGAGAATGTAGATGGTTAAAAATTTCTTTACAGATCACTAATAAAAACATTTCTAGTCATATTATTTGTGGAGTATGAACAGGAAATGGCCAAAAGCTATTCCCTGGAGGAGCCTAATTTTTACATAACTGTCAATGCAGCAATTATTTTGTCTTTTTAAAATTAAGGCAAATCAACAAATTATAGGACTTTTTAAAAAAAGAGTTTTGAAACTAGTTTAAAACCTCTCTTTCTTAAAAATATTTTTTTTAGTGAAAATGTCTTGAGACCCTGAGGAAACCTATGGAGCAGAAACCACGTGATCCAAGGCCTGGCTTTTCAGATGTGCGGTTGGCGCTGGATTTGGGCGTTGTTGCTGCGCTCAGCAGACTCGCCCCGCAATCACAAGCATTTGATTCTCAAGCCGATACTGCTACACCCAGTCAGGTTTAGCACAATGTGAGCTCCGAGAAAGCATAATTACAAACAAAGAATGACAAGAAGCACGTGTGGACTCAATAGGGCTCTCTTTTTCCCACATGCTGTCACCTGTCCTTACAAAACCCTTGAATCCTAGGTGAGGTGGCAGCTACCAATCCCCAGATTATAGCACAGGGCACCAAGAGGTTCAGTGGCTGGACCGAGGCCACACTGTCACTGGCTCATTGCATGCAAATGAGTCTTCACAATTTTTTTTAGGGCCCTTGAGTGTTGGAATTACAAAACGAAGATGTGGCCGCTGATCTAGAGGGATCCATAATCCAGACAGGGAAGGCGTGGATGTGATCAGATTTAGGGGCATCACTCTGCTCCAGAAACTGCCACACTCACTTTTTCTCATGCTGAGAAGAATAGCTAGTCTTCAGGGAACATAAAGAACTCTCACCAGGCCAGGCCTTGTGCAGAATGGGGGAGGGGTAGCACTGTCTTTTGCTAAGTCTGTATTGTTTTTCTATTGCTGTCTAACAAATCACCACAAACATAAAGGCATAAAACAATAAAAACAAATTTACTATGCTCACCAGACTGAAATAAAGGAAACAGTTCTCATCTGGGGATCAGGGTTCATGTGGCTGTTGACAGAGCTGATTTTCTTGTGGCCATATGACCAACTTTCTAATTTTCTTACTAGCTATTGACTGGGAATTGCTCTCAGCTCCTAGAAGCCACCTAAAATCCCTTGCCGCATGGCCCTCACAGGGCATTCACAGCATGGCTGTTTGCTTTCTTCCAGGCCAGCAGGAGCTTGTCTCTGAAACGTCACCTATGGTTAAAGGTTTGCCTGATAAGGTCAGGCCCACCCAGGATACTTTCCGTTTGATGGTCAACTGATTAGTGACCTGATTATGGGAGTGGTGACTCATCTTATTCACAGGTCCTGTCCACACTCAAGGGGAAGGGCATGCACTGATGGACATGGGAAACTTGTGGCCATTTTAGAATTGTGACTTCCCACCCATTCATGCACATCCACCTGACTGCTGTGTCAAGTAGCCCAGCCTCCAAAATGAGCATCCTTCTCTCCCCTCCAGCAACATGCCTTTAGAAACAATGTTTTATAAGAGGAATTAATTACTAATGGTAGAGTTTCAGACAATGGCATGAACACCTGCTTCTGTATTGTTAATGCTTAGCACAGCGCCCTAAATTGATGCTTCTCAATAAATGAATGTGCGAATGATTAAATGAGAAATATTCTGGGTGTCCTCATCAGATTATATCCTATTAAATATGCTACAACCCATGTGTAAGGCTGATTCCTCCTTTTCATATCACTTCCCCCCATGATCTAAAAGGAATGAATGCTTATTATAAAACATTTGGGGAATTTTCTCCCTTCTATGATTTTACTGTTTATATTTTTTTTAATCCATCTAGAACTAATTTTCCAATATGATGGATAAAATATTCCGTCCCTTACCCAATTAGTCTGTAATGCTTTTTTAAATATATATTAAGTTCTCATGTATAATGAGCTCTATTTTTGAGCCATTTGTTCTATATCATTGATCTGCCCATTCAATTTGTGGGCCAGTATCACCTATTTTAATTATTGGAATTTTATATTAACTTTTAAGACCCAGTAGGAGCAGGCATGGCCTCATTATTCTTCTCTCACCCAGTCCCTTACGCCTGGGTCTGCCTTGCTGCCTGCTCTAGCTCCTTAGGCAGCACAGCATGCTTTGACAAGGGTTGGACATGGAGCCAGACCTATGTTCATATCCTATCTCTGCATCTTCCTAGCTTAAATCCTCTGAGTCCCAGTGAAATGTAAACCTCTCTCTATATAAAAGCCTAAGCGACCAGCCGACCGGTGAACCAGCCGACCGGCCAGTAGCTATGATGCACACCGACCACTAGGGGGCAGACACTCAATGCAGGAGCTGCTGAGCTGCGGTGACTTGGCAGCTGCAGTTCTTGGGTGACGCACCCAGAACCAGAGAGGAGGGAGCCTAATTCCAGGGTGTGTCACCCGAGAACCACCCTCTCACAATCCAGGACCCCTTGGGGAATGTCAAAGAGCCAGTTTCAGACCGGTCCCCACAGGCCTGGCCGAGGGACCCTGCTGGTGCACGAATCTGTGCACTGGGCCTCTATTATAATAATAATAATGCTGATAAACCTCTCTTACTGTGTGTTAACTGGGGCAACTTCTCAGAATCACCCCGCACATGTAAGTGACCAATATCTCCTAGCTGGAGTGGAGGAGTGACTCTGGAGGTCCAGGCACTCATGCTTCTGTCCCTCTATCCTATGACCAGGGACTGATTTGAGCATCCTGCACAGATGCTGAGTCTCAGATCTCTCTGACTCTGGCCGGTCGGCTGGTTGGCCGGTCGGCTGGTCACTTAGGCTTTTATATAGAGAGAAGTTTACATTTGGCCCCAACTTCTGGGTGGGCTCTTCCTAGAATGTGTCCTGCCCACTGATATCTGATGACACAGGCCCATTAGTGAGACCAGGATGTTCACCTGACATCTCCGTGTGTACTTTTCTGGTTCCAGGGGCCCTGGAGGAGAGGCTCAGAGGGGGAGAGTGTGGCGAGAGAATGAAGACACCAACTGCCTGGGAGAAGCATGAGGTGGCAGAGCGGCACTCGGTTTAGAGGGCTTCGGCCGGCGGCGGCCCCATGGGCAACTCTGCTGGCGCTGGGCCTCCCTGGTTGGGTGTTGGCTGTCTCGGCCACGGCTGCTGCTGTAGTCCCCGAACAGCATGCGTCCTCAGCTGGCCAGCCACCCCTGGACTGGCTGCTCACGGACCGGGGCCCCTTCCACCGCGCTCAGGAGTACACTGACTTCGTGGAGCGGTACCGCCAGGGGTTTACCACCAGGTACAGGATCTACAGGTGAGTGGGGCCTCCCTCAGAACCCAACCTGGACAGGTCCTGCGGGCGGGCAGCTGAGCCAGCTGGAATGCCCACAGACTGAGCTAGAAGCGAGGGCTGGAGGAGCAGCGGGCAGGAAAAACAAGCCTACCATGTTGGTGTTTAAAAAAAGAAAGAAGAAAACACATACAGGCTGGAAAACCTGCTGATGCCTCCTGGGGAACTTAGCAAAAGGGTTTCTATTTATAGGTTCCGCTGCTTATAAATTGAGGACAAATGAGGCAGCATAGAGTCAGCGTGTGGCCAGTGCTGCGGCAGGAGGGTAGAGTCAAATGCTGGGGCTGGGTTTTAACTAATGGGTTAGATACTTTTATGAGTTGTAATTACCCAGACATGCAAATGAAGGCAGGATAAGCTCCTGCTCCTGCTCCAGAGGTCTGGGGAGCTCCGTGGGGACAGGGACGAGCTTGCCCTCACTCCTGTCAACACCACAGCCTCAGCTGGCCTTGCTTACGGAACCAGGCTGTACTTCCTGGCCCATCAGCGCCCGTCCTCAGAAGCATCAGAGAGAAAGTCAAGCATGAGACCCATCTGGCCCATGTGACAAGGGACAAAGCAGGGATAAAACCCCCACTGCTGGACCAGCACTTGTAAAGCAGGAGGCACCTCAAGATCCTCACATCAGGGCTCCCACGAGTGCATCCCTGAGTTCCCATGTCTCCTTCATTCCTCTGCCCATTTGCCCTCTCGTCTACTCCCTTTCCCTCTCACCATGCCCTAGTCTTCAAACAATCCTGGGAGCTTGGCTGAACTTTTTTCTCTTATCAAAGACATTTATTTTCCAATTACAAATTAGTTCCCAATGCAAAAATATGAGAGAAAGTATCTTAAAAGCACAAGGAGAAACAAAACCAGAAAAACGCCTATTCTTCCAGCACCTAGAGGTTGTTGTTAACCACGTGGCACATGTGTGTCTAGTCATATGAACATACTCTAGGGCTGGACCTCTTGCTAGATCTAGCACTTTGTTATGTACATTAACTCATTTATTTTATTTGTATTGATTTGGGGGGGGCGGAGAGGAAGAGGGCGAGGGAGAGAGAGAGAGAGAGAGAAACGTCAACCAGCTGCCTCCAAACATGCCCCAACCAGAGTTGGAACCCGTAACCTTTTGATGCATGGGGTGATGCTCCAACCAACTGAGCCACCTGGCCAGGGCAGTACACTAACTCATTTAATCCTTCCAGCAACTCTATGCCAATGCAAGATGGTAACAAGATGAGAGTCACAGAACAATATGCCAGAAGAACAATTCTTCTCCCTTTTTACAAATGAGGAAATTGAGGTCCAGAGAAGTTAGGGGACTTACCAAAGGACACACAGCTAGTAAATGGTGAGCCAGCTTTAGTTCCCAAATGGTCAGACTCCAGAATCTGGGTTCTTGAAATATATTTAGGCATTGTTCTATTTCTAAGAGGTTGAAGTTTGGTGTTGTTGTTGTTTTGTTTTTTTTAATGCCTGCAATAACCATGGTGTTTGTTTGGGTCAGTATGGTGTCTCAGAAACAAGGTTTTAAGGTATTCAGCGCTGGAAGATTCCCAACTGGTAAGAGCATACATTTTAGAGGCCTATCTCCTGGCACGTGATTCTCATAGGCACATGCAGACGAAGGGCCTGGAGAATGAAGGGGTTGGAGAGTTACACAGAAACAAAATCCTGTTCCAGAGAGAGAGAGAGGGGGGGGGGAAGAGAGAGAGAGAGAGAGAGAGAGAGAGAGAGAGAGAGAGAGTTAGTTTAAGCAGAAAATTCCTTCAGTTTACCTTAGATTTTTCAGTTTACCCCAAATCTTTCAGAAGCACTGTTATCACACAAATATATTTTTTTAAAGTACATTGGAATTGAAATAGGCTGAGAATCCCAACACCATCATCCACTTCAAGGGCTGTAAGAACCGGAGGGATTCAACCATCAGTTTTCTTCTTCGATAGAGATTTCTTCTCATCAAGTCCCAGCCCCAGCCTGGAAGCCATGGAGGGCCTGGTGGCAGCTCTGAGCTGGCCAATGGGGAGGAGAGTGTGCAATAATTTCTGCACTATCAACCGTTCTATCAGTTGGTAATGGCTTTCTGATCATTTAATGTGACAAGCTCTTACTCGGCACCATTCTGCTACTCGGGGGTCAGTTCTTGCACATGAACCTGTACTTGGGGAGGCAGTAAGCATTCATTCTGACAGACACGCAGCATTCTGATTTGTGACCCTTTGGTGGGGGACCAAAGAATGGTCACACACAGCTGCTCCAGGAGCATTCTGGGAGTTTTGCCTTTAGTTATCAAGCGAAGTGGTGGCTCCAGGGAGACTTGTTGTAGGGTCTGTATTGTGATCCACCTCCCTGTTCCTGTGGGAATTCCCTCTTATCCTCCTTCTCCTTTGGTCTCTAGTGGCAACTCCCTTTGGCAAATTCATGACCTTGCTTCCTCTGACGAAAGAGGGTCAAAAGAAATTGTTAAACTACACATGGAGGGTCACCCACATGACCAGAAGGGCACTTTATCCAGAAGGGTAGAGGGAGAATAAGCTTACAGAGAGTATCAGAAATGTATTATGGTGCAATATTCAGTCTCAAACAGAATTCATTCAATTCTCTAAGAAAGCTTTTGGTCCATAGAAAACAAATGGTATTCTCATGTGCTTTCCATAGAAGAAAGGAGATGAACTGTAACGGCAAAGAATAAGACTTTCCAACAGGTGGGATGCTTGGTGCAGAATCCTAGGAAGCTCTCTTGCACCAGGAAAAAGACCCCCTTGCAGTTGTGTGAACAGGTCAGAACTAGCCCACAGCAAGGTTCTCATGTTAGTCTCTGGATCCCACATATTCTTGTTGGGATATCAGCCTGTGCTCTCACTTTCAGGAGATGACTTGTTGCTTTAGAATAGCTCTGACCTTTCTAACCACGGGCCCCAGAGTTTGTTGCTCTCTCCATTTCAAGTTTGTTTTCACCTTTCTGAGGGAAGGTTCTGGAGCTAGCAGACCTGTTTTCTAAGCCTGCAGCTGTGGCTTCCTAGCTGTGTAATGCTCAGCAAATTATTTAATATCTTTACTCCCCAATTTCCTTCTTTGTAAAATCAGGATAGAAATAGTCCTGATAAATTAATGTGAAACACTAATAACATCTCACCCAATAAATTAATGTGAAAATTAAATGTGTTGGTTGATGTAAAGCACTTAGAACAGTGTTTAATCAATACAACCTATCATTATTAGGTTGTTCTCAACAAATAGTAGCCAATGCAAGATGGTAACAAGATGAGAGACACAGGTGTTGTCTTTGTGATGTCTGCTGAGGTCTAAGCATCCAACAGAAAGAAAGAAAATATTGTTACTTTTCTTTATTTTTTTTTAAAAGCATATTAACCTTCACCCTTCCATCTACCTCTCTGCTGGGAGAGGAACTCAACCAAAGAATGCATGAATCTTCTCTGGGCACACTCTTCCTGGTCTTGCAGGCTTAACAGAGGGAACTAGCTTGTTTCAAGCATGTTTTAGAGTCACCACAGGGGAAGATCTTTCCCCTAAAGCCAGGGATCGCCAGCTGAGCAGGCCTTCCTTAGGATGTCCTACAGAAGCCGGTCACTGCCAGTCCTGGTCCCAGGTGTGACATGGACACCTCGGGAAGGCACCGTTATGAGAAGAAAGACAGTATGCACTCTTGTTAAGCCTTCCTAAGTAACAGGATGGTTTGATCATCTCACCCAATATTGTGGCAAGCTTTTAAGTTTCACTAACTATCCTCTCATCATGTCCTCAAGCCCTGTCAGACCAACATCTGAGCAGTCAGCCCACTTCTCAGACACTGTCTCTTAGCAGGCTAGTGGAGCCATCAGAGCAGAGGTCCCATCTCCAATTCCATTTGTGAGCCCCAACCCCCCCTCCCTTGCTTCACTCCATAGCTCCTACTCCATAATAAACACTTAGGTGATCCATCTCTCATAGCAGCCCTATAAGGCATAGGAGGCTATTAGGTCCAAGGCAATGAGACGGACTTATTTGTTCAAGGTCAGAGAGGTAGAGAGTCACAGCCAGAAATAGCATTCAGGGCTCCTGACTTGAAGTCTCCTGCTCATTATCTAGACCACGCCACTTCCCTCTGACTGGTAAGTGCATCTTCATCATAACACGCAACCTAATCAGGCGCCTAAATTGAGCTGATGCAAATGTAAATATGGTTTCTCGAAACACTCTAGCGATAATGTTCCATTCTCTCTTTGCTACAAATCAAAGTAATGAGCAGTCTGTTTTTTTTTATTTCTTTTTGTATTAAGGCTTTAATAGAGAGATAATCATGGGATTGGAAAAAATCCAAGCCACTATGATGAAACACTTAAAACTCGGAAAGAATAAATTAAAATTAGGAGAAAAAGTTAAAAAACATACAGAACCATGAGTATAATAGGGTGGTTAGGGGGAGAGCAAGGCTGGTGTAATTCCAAATTATTGATCTTTGTCAATATTATCTCCATTTCTAGCTGCCTCATTTATTTTTATTTTTATTTTTTTTAGAAAGGAAGGATTTGGAGATATAGTAGAAGTGTTTTGGGAGGAAGATAAACAAAAAATATATTAAATAGATATCTTCATTGATAAAAAAAAGGACATTACATTCTGATCATATTCTGGGCCAAATTTATAAATTTTGAGAACCGAAGTAGAACAAAGCTGAAAGCCAAGAGGGGGGAGTGGTACCCAAAGGTAGGCAGTGTTCAGGCAGGAATGTGTTTTAGCAGGTGCATCTGGAAACATCCAATGGGGCAAGCAGGCACAGAATCAGAAGATGTGATGAACAAGGGCAGTTAAGGCCAAAGAAGTTATCAGCAGGCACCAGCACAATAACCCTTAGAAAAGAAAACCTGTTTGCAGTTCATCAGGATGAAAAATAAGATATGGTAATAGCTCATGAATGCAGGAAGTGAGAAATGGGAAAGAGCAAGTATTTGACCCACACTGCTCCAAGTGTGGTCTGT